TCCTGAGCTTGAGTAACATCCTAGTCCAGTAGCTGAGTCCTCCTCTCTCCCACTCCCTCATCCCCTAGTGTGTGGCCAGGCAGCAGGTTGAGGGTAGTGGAACCTTCCCTGGGGAGAAGCCCATTTAGCTGGAAAGGGACACCCACCCCAGCCGTTTTCCACCTATATCTTTCTGGTCAAAATACTTAGGCACAGCCATTGCTGGTTGCAAGAGAGGTTGGCAAATGGGAGGGCAGTTCTTTCTTGGGCATAGAGACTGCAATGAGCAAGGCCTGCCAGCACACAGCGCCTACCCAGAGTGGGAGACAGGTACAACTTTCTAAAAGGGAGGACTGGAGGAGCATGTGGGACACTTCCTCCTACATTTTGGTAAAGCTGCTAACTAGTATTTCTGCACCCTTCGAAGTAGTTGGAGCTAAACTATGAATGTGTGTGAATGTTTTTAAATCATTATTTAGATTTAAATTATCATGAACTGTGGGTTTACAAGGTATTAGAGGAAAAGTCAGTGCTTTGGATGGTTGAAAAGCCAGCCAGCTTTGCCACTAAATGTCTGTGGCACCAAGGTGACTCAGATCTGTGGGCCTTGGTTTTATTTTAAAACGAGAGGTTCTGCTTTCCCTTCCCAAATGTATTCTATTATCAAAGCAAAACTCAGACAACAGGTGTTACACAGCTGTAGTTCTTGACAATTGCCAGATGTCTCCCTAACTCCTGCCTCTTCCGCATGTTCTCCCTTTTCCATCTCTGCATTCACTGCATGCACCAATGGCTGTGGGATGGTGAGCTTCCCCGTTACAATAAGCTACTGGCAGATCAGCACAGTGGGCTCAGGGTGTCACCCAAAATTACCATTGTAGAGTATTTTATAACCTGCCCTTTGTGTGGAGGGTTATGGATGGTGGTTCCCCTATACTTACATTTCTTGTTTGGAGGGTCCAGCGACCAGGGGAAGCTATGAAGAAACCTGTTCCTTTTCCTTAACAAATCCAAATGAACAAACACTCCCAGATATGTGTAGTTTAGCGCTGAACTCTCGGCTGTTCTCAATCAATTCTTTAGAACAGGTTGTTAGAAATCACCCTCAGCATCCTACAGTGGCAGCTCCTGTTTTTGCTCTGGGGGCTGTTGCTATCTTAGTGGTCCTCTAGCCACCAAGGAGTCTGGATGTGGACCATACAGACCAGGAATTGATGCTGCTGCAAACTTGAGTCCAGTCTGCCGACCTGACCAGGAACCCAATGTCCATATCTTGCTGCTTTGTCGTCCTTTTTCCAGGCAAAGAGAGGTTTTTGTAGCAGAGAAATTTCAAAGTGTTTTGAGAAGTAACCTCTCTGTTGAAACAAGTCTGGTCCTACCTCCTCTGCCGGTTCCCTTTGTTCATTTACAGAAAGAGTGAGCGCTTGTGTAGATGGTTTATGTTTAAAATCAGTCTTGCTACTTTTCCCCCTTGCCTTTCTGTCCCCTCTGCTGAATGCCAGTAAAAACAGCCCAGGAATTTTGTTGGAAATTCTAGCCCCACTCTCCCCTGTCTGTTCCAATTTCTGTCCAGTTAATCAGACGGTACCTGCACAGGCCAAACTGGTCTGAGTATAAATTGAGAGTTGTCAAGTATCAGACAGGAGGGACAGAGAAAGCATTGACCAACTGACTCTCAGCCATTTATTTCAAATAACATAGAGAAAGTGTGCGCTTTATCAATTTTCCTTTCAAACCAAACCAGAAACCCAGACTCTTAATTCAAAACAGTTCACAAATTATTTTTTTAATAAGGTAAATATGATGGTGGTAGTTTTCAGAGCTTTGAATTAGTTCATTGGAGGGAACTCCCCAAGATTTCCTTTGGTCATTGGCTATCAGATGGTTTCCAGTAGGTTGCTGGAACAGGTAGAGGAGGTCAGGAGTGTGGGCACATGTAGTGGGAGGGGTCACACACTGGTCTGCCCCAAAGTGCCCGTACTGACAGCCCATGCCCCCTGTCTGTTCAGGTAGGAGCTGGGGACCTGGATGGCTTCCAGGCAGACACAGAGGAAGAGGAGGAAGAGGATGGTGACTGTGGAATGATGGACATCTCCGATGTTGCTGGTGAGAATGGCCCCAGACCCTCCTCCCACAGACTGGCAGCTGGGCGGAAAGCACACACCCTCACACTTTTTAACTGGCTCTTTTGCATATAATGTACATAAAGGCACTGGGTGGGCTGGTCCAGTGGTGGGAGTGGGCAGTTGAGTCCAGTCATGACCTGGAGGGTCTGTTTCCTAAGCTACATTTAAGAAACCAAAGAACTGAAGATTGATTGCTGCCAAAGCGAAGAGTGGATGGGAGGTGTCAGACAGAAAGGGTCCAGAAGGCAGGGGCTTGGCACCAGTGAACTGCCTCTGAATTGAGCTTCCCCAGGGAAAAGGAGGGCAGCAGTGATGTTGGGCTCAAGGAGCCTGAAGTCCTATGGTCCTTAACAGAGCCACTTGGCCTCAGTGCCCTGGTTTCCTCACCTTTGCCATGGAAATCCAGGTCCAGATTTGGCTCTTCCTCGCTGTGAGCTAAAGAGTGGACAGGGTCTGGCTGAAGGCAGTGAGGGACTATCTAGAAAGTGGGGAGGGACCTGGGGGCTACAGCCAAGCCTCTTCTCTAACTAGTTTGATCTGGGTGGGGTGGGCGGGACGTCTTATCCTAAGAAGGCTTCCAGCGCTGTTTTAGGCTCCAGTGACAGTTACAGCTGGCTAAAGTCCCTACCTCTCTTGCCTTGCAGAGGTCCAGGACATGTGTGGAACCACTCCTGGAGCCGGAAGGCCTGTGGAAATGGACACCAGTGAGAGCCCCATGCCCACCAGCTCACTTGGCCCCTCCTGAGCACCCCAGTTGGTCCGTGTGTGTATGTAGAATGGTTAGGGTTTTCTCAGATGCTTCTCAGATACTTGAAAATCCTAAAATTCCTGTGTAAAGAGCACTTTGTCCTGCTTTGCATACCCATCCCCCACCAAGGGTTGGAAAGTATATAGGATGCTTGATTCATTCTTTTTGATATTTGTAAAAACTTTTCCCCCAAAGTTGCATATTATCCTGCCCTTTAATAAAAGCATTATCGCAATATGATGGCCTGTATGGGGAAGCCTAATCTTGCCCTAAAGGACCCTGAGCAGGCACTATGATGAAATACTTATAAATGAATTGGAGCCCTGCTGGTGCAGCTTAGCACCAGGACCTGACATGAACATGTATAAACTTATTGTCTAGTCCTGACCTGGTGTGTCTGTCATCCTTTTAACACGTTTCTGTGAGTGGGTATCTACCTTCACCTGTGGCTTGAGTCTGGTTCCCTGTGCTGTACTGTCAGGTGTCCATACTTTGTATCACGCATATGGTACTGTGGCATCTACATTCTACTTTGCAAGAGGACTGTCCCATCTCTTTGTTGTGAAATCCTCCACCTCCCCAATGACCTAGTTCAGGGTGGGGCTTCTCAGCAGGTGCTCATGCCCATCAGTCCCTCCTGCCCCTTGGGAGGCTAACAGGGCCTATTCTGGGCCTCTCAAGATCTGAATCCTGGCTTCAGATGGACTTCTGGGTCAGACATACCACAGTGGAGTGTAAACTGCATGGAACCAACTGAAGATGCTGGAGTCCTGGTACCCAAGACCCTAGAACAGTCCCGTATTAGGGCAGTGGTAGCCCCATTGAGGTGTCAGAGCACATGTTGAGGGCCTCAGGGAGCTGAGATTTTGGCAGAAATCACAGACTCCATCCAACCTGAACTCCTGTCCTGCCAATACCTCATACTGAGTTGTTTTTGTGCCTGCTGTTCCCAAGGGAGAAGAGCCAGCAGGCATATCAGCATGCAGAACAGTTTACATTGGCTGGATACAGCCAGACAGGGCAGTCCAACCCTGCTGCTGTGTGGTGGGCCGAGACTCCAGGTTTTCCTCTACCACCATACCCTGATCCTCCTTCAGAGGCCCTGCGTGGGTGGGAGAGAGCATGGGCCCCAGCCGGGACCTCCTCCTGGAGGCAGGGTGCAGGGGAACACAGGTGTGTGCACAGAACAGAAACCTGTTACTTCTGTAGTCACAACCACCTGTCAAGACTCCTTAGGCCTGTTGTAGTTGGATATCTGACAACATACAGTTGAGTCCTAACAGCAGCTGGGGACAGGGAGGGGATGTAGAACCTAAGTGAAAGGTCAAGGCCATGTTGGGCTCCCAAGATTTGGCAGCAAAGGAGACAGACCTGCGTCCAACAGCTGCTGGTGGCCCAGGTATGAGACAAGGGTATGCATGCAGGCAACTTGCTGCCCAACGGGGTCACGGGATTTTTGCTTTTAAAATCACATTTGGTCCTGACCAATGTGGTTCAAATCAAAAGGTCACCACTTTGATTCCTGGTCAGGGCATGTGCCTAGGATACAGGTTCAGTTCCCAGGTGGGGCGTGTATAAGAGGCAACTGATGGACGTTTCTTATGTTGCTTCTCTCCCTTTCTTCCTTTCCTTCTCTCTAAACCTACATTTAAATTTTTTTTTTAAATCTTATTTGAGGGCTGAAGCTTCAAGTCTGTCTCACCCACCTGGCAGTGGTCAGAGGACCAGCCACCTGGCCTCTGTGCAGGGGAGTATCTAACAGGAGCTGGAGCCTGCAGCCTGCTGGGGGGCGAGAGGGAGGGGACAATCCAGGTGAGTGGCTGAGGAGGCATCTCCCAGCCTGGATGTGACCAGGGGTGAGTACCTTTGACCATCCAGGCCTTGGTTTTCCTATCTTAGTCCCTGTAGCTGTAACATATCACTACATCACTAAAAACGATGGCTGAAAACACAAATCTGTTCTTACAGGTCTGGGTATCATATCTGACTAATGTAGGTCTCACTACTTTAAAATACAGGTGTGAGCAGGGCTGGTTCCTTCTCGAAGCTACAAGGGAGAATTCATTTGTGCCTTTTCCAGCTTCTAGAGGCCACTGCATTCCTTAGCTCCTGGCCCCTTCCTCCATTTTTGAAACCTGCAGCACAGCATCTTCCGTTTCTTCTGCTTCCTCCTCCCACGTGTAAGAAGCCCTGGGATGACACCAGGTGCATCTGGGAAATTAGGACAATCTCCCACCTGAAGGTCTTTTAATCACACACAAATTTCCTTTTGTCATGTAAAGTAAATGCTCACAGGTTCCAGGGGTGAGGACCTGGACATCTATGGAAACTTGTTTGCCAGGGCCGAGGCCCTAACGCCACAGCCCAGGGCCCCTGGGACACCCTCCCTCAGGGAGATGGGCTTGTCTACTGGGTGACTGCAGCTACTGACCTGCCCTGCAACAGCTGAAATTCACCACCAAGAGACTAGTGAAAGAGCCTGTTTATTTGGGTTCAGAATTTAGAGCTACAGGATCCTGTTTTGACAGGCCCAGCATCTCCACCCTATGCCACTGTCACCAGCAACCCCACAGGGGAGCCTCAGGGCCAGCCATGGTGCCTGGGCCACAGCATGTGGGCCTGGACCCATGCCACAGGCCCACTGTCGTGCCCAGGGAGGCGTTCACGCCTGTCATGCCTAGTTCCATTAATCAGACCCAGTGCTACTAAGGACTGCACAGCAGCTGTCCCCTGAAAGCCCTCTGGTCGGCATTCACAGGCCAACCAGTGGCTCTCCCCTACCCCTGGGCTGGGCAAACAGTCCTAGAGGAGGTGGGGAGGCCTTGAGGTGCAGGGGGAATGGGAACGTGGGCAGTGGTGGAGGAAGCAGGAGAGCATGAGACAGACCCATGGGGACTGAAGCCAACCCTGCTTTTATTTCAGGAGAGCTTCTCGATGGCCATCAGGAGCTCAGGTTTCAGGATAGATGTGTCTGGCTCAGCCCCCGCAGCCTTGATGTCCTCTAGCACTGCTCTGTCCCACGAGAAGGTCAGGAGGGCTGAGGGCACCTGTGGTGGGGCAAGAAGCCTCAGCCTTGTTTTGGCCTTTACGTGAGAGAGCTAACATCTTCACGTTCAAATGTTTGTGTTGGAGCCAGGGCCGCATCCTCCCAGGGCTGTTTCCACTGGCGACAACAGTGCAGGCAGTCCCTCAGTAAAGTAAGCCCATTCCCGAAGCAGGGGCCCCTCCGACAGAGCACCTGGGTTCAGGCACACCTCCTGGCCTGGCCAAGGCTGTCCCAGTGCTGGGCAGCAGTCAGGACCTCCGTCCCAGGCCACCTACCTTCCTGGTCTCCCTGCATTCAGGGTGTGGCTGCCCTCTGGCCTCCTCCTACATCCTCCCCAGTAAATCCTCACTTCCAGTCTCATCTGGGTTCACCTCAGAGGATTCAAAACAACATACTTGCCACCTTCCTTTCCATTTTAAAGGTGGGACACTAAGGCTCGGAAAAGCTACTAAGGGTCACACTGCGTATAAACAAACAGAAAGACAGAACTAAGACTCGGAGCCTGGCCCTGGGACCCCTGCTCCAGAACCACCCTTTACTGAAGAGCACCACCCTCATGGGGAGCATGTGCAGATTCGGCGAGAACCCGGGTATCCAGCATGCGGGAACTTGTCACTCACCAGCCCACACTCGTTGAAGGCCAAGTTCTCGTCCTCTGACAACTTCTGCCCACCCGAGGCCAGCAGCTCAAAGGGCAACCAGTCACTCTGCAAGGCCTCCCGAACAAAGCCATAGAGTGCTGCCACCCGCTCCCGGGCGTAGAAGGTCCCTGAGGGGTGGAACAGTCAGTGTGAGGCTGGAGATCATGGCAGCCCCCGCCAGGGCCTACCCAGCCAAGTGGAGACCAGCCTAGAGGAGCTCAGACAAACTCAGACCAGAGACCTTCCTGCTGGAGGCAAAGCAAACCCACAGATGCAGTTATACCACACACAGCTCAGCCAATCAGCACAGACATCAACCACCTCCCAGGCCTCGCTCTGCCCCTTCCCCACACAACCCTGGCCAGTAGGCAGCACGCACCCTGGAGGAGGCAGCCATCAGGGAGGCGAACACGCAGCAGCGTGTAAGTGTACTTGCGCATCTCCCTCTGCTCCTCCTTCTCCCGCATGGCCTTGGTCCGCAGCATGCTCAGCCGCTCCACCGCCTCAGACCTGAGCCTCTGCTCCCGTTTGACCTCCTCAGCTGTGAGGTTGAAGAAGTCAGAAGGCAGGTCGAACTGAGAGGCCAGGTGTGAGGGCTGGAAGACACGCCGCTGGCGGGCCAGTGTGGCCCGCACGGGTTCGGCACACAGCAGCTGCTCCTTGTGCTTCTCCAGGCTCTGGGGCTGGTCCAGGGCGGCCTCACTCAGCACATAGAACTCTTCAGGGCCCTCTGGGACACACAGGGATGTCACTGTATGACGGCAAGGAAACCCCCGAGCTGGGCCCCTCCCATGCCACCTCCCCACTCAGCAAAGACTTTTCTCTACTCAGCTTACCCTGATCTGGAACTGGCAACAATGTCTTCTGGAAGCCAACGGCCTCAAAAAACTCATGGGTCCCTTCCAGGCAGTTAATGCGCTCCTGGGAGCAGAGCCAAAGTCACGCAGGGCCCATGGGCCTCCTCGAGCCCCACGAACCTTACTGCCCAACTGGTCCCACCAGGCCCAGCACCCCCTTTTGGACTGGCTGCCCCTGGACAGGACAACCCCCCCTCCCCTACCCCAAAAAGCTGCCTAAGGAGAGGTGGCAGGGTTTCCAGGAGCTGGTCACAGAGAGCATGGGACCCCAAAGGCCAACAACCAGGGTGAAGAGGAGCTAAAGAACAGCATGGGGGGTGCGGTGTCTTAAGTGAGGGGAGGGGCTATGTATGATGCTGGTAGGGAGAGTGGGTGCGCTGCCAGCAGCAGAGGTAGCATGGACCAGGGTGGCGGGACTGCTTGATTTCTCCACAGAAGCCAGAAATCTGTATAAGAAATCCCCCCAGTGTAGACGTGATCCCAACTAGTTCAAATTGGAGTCAAAATATACCAGGGGTGGTCAGGAGAGCAGATTAAACACAGATATTGTGTATGACATTTGTCCATAAAGCCCCCTCTCCACTGGCCCCCTCTGCCCACTTCAACCTGCCACCCCTGAGGGAGCCCTCCCACCGGCCGCGCTGCCAGCCTAGGCCCTGTGTGACTGCAGGCCCGGCCGCGCTGGCAACACCAAGCTAAGTCACTCCACGGAGCCCTCACCTGGAACACCTTGTTCTGCAGCTTGATCTTCCGGTACTTCTCCTCCTCGGGGTGCAGGTGGATGTTGTCCAGATACCTGAGGCAGAATTGGGGAACAACAGTCCTGGGTTGTGTGATTGTCTCCTCTGTACCTCCCACCCCCAGGTGGACAGCTGCTCAGAGCCACACCCAGGCTTGTGGTAAGAGGGGGAGGCGGTGCCATCACACCTCAGACACCTCATGGAGCCCAGCCCCTGGTGCCAACAGCCTGGGTCCGCAGAAAATACCACTGCCCCAGCCACTGTCCACCTGGGGCCCATCGCTGTGCCTGCTCCTGGGTCCTGCCTCCCCTGGAGGGCACCAATGGACCGTAGTGTGGGGGTGAAGTGGACAGAGCCCAGATGGGCCACCAGGGCCAATGGGTCACCAGATTGGCCTGGGAGCTTATAAGCAAAACAGACTTCCAACACCCCTGGACCTGCTCAGTCAGGGAAGTGCGGTGGGAAGCCACCCCCTTTGGATTCCTCTGATGACCCCCAAAGGGATGCCAGGGTTGGGAATCCCCAATTCAGTAAACCGCTTCATTTCACAGACAGGTAAACTGAGGCCCAAAAAGGCCAGGCCCCTTCTGGGTCCCCTCAGCAGGGTGCCAAGACTCACACCCTGGCACTCACTTGGCAATGGTGTCCACACCCAGCTTCACCTTGTCCCGGTCTTTGTTGAACGTGTGGATCTTCATGATGGAGGCAGCCACCGGGTCAACAGAGAAGTGCTGGGAGGAGTGAGGAAAGTGTCAGAAAGCACTTCCCTCACAGCCTGGAGGCCCCATTACTCAGGAGGTGGCAGTAACAGCGGTAGAGTTACAGTCTCGTGGCACACAAGCCAGCAGCGCTTAGCTGAAGCACATCAACTGTACACACTCAGCAGAAAAAGAGGAGAAAAGCTTTAGCCGTGCCCTAATCTCTAGGGAGGAGGGGTCATCGGCAGCCCAGATTATACAATAAAGCTATGGCTGCTAACCGGCAGACCTTAAAACAGGACATTAGCCTAGACAATCCTGGTGGGCCCAGAGTAATCGTAAGAGCCCATCAGGAGAGCGAGCCAGAGAGAGGGCAGCTGGACAAAGGCTTGGCCTGGCATTGCACGCTGCAAATACGGAAGTAGGGGCCACAGAATACCGGTGGCCTGGATGCTGGAAAAGGCCAGGAAACGGACTGTCCACAGAGCTTCCAGAAAGAACGCAGCCCCTCCTGCCACTAGTGAGAGCCATGTCACACTGACTTCCAGAATTCTAAGAGACCAGACGTGCGCGTTCACAACCCGAGGTTGTAGTGATGTTACAAGGGTAATGGGAAACTCAGACCCAGGGGGAAGACGGTTTGGGGTTCTTTTTCTTCCTGCAATTTTTTTTAAGTTTGAAATTATTTCCAAATTCAGTTTTAAGGAAAAAATAATGCTGAAGTTCTTTCTGTACTGCTATAATAGCTGGCAGTTCCTATGTTTAGCATGAGTGGTATGAAAAAACAAAACAAGTGAAGGGGAGACACAAGTACATCAATAGTTCGTACATATTTGAAATGTCTCTGGAAAGGGACCTAAACTACCCACAGGGGTGGTCACCGGGGATGGTGGCCAAGAGGTAGGTGGAAGGTAGCTTTTGTCTGCCTTTTCACGTTTCTTTTTGTATTCTGAATTCTGTACCACACATAAGCATTACCTCTTTGAAGAACTGACAACAGACACAAAATACACAGGTGGGGACATTAGGAAGGACCTATGTGACCCAGCCTTACTGGGCTTCCTGCAGGCAGCTCTGACCTCAGAACCTCTAAGTGAGGGATGGGGGCACGAGGCCTCCACTCACTGAGAGAATGGCTTCTTTGATTCGGGTGTCCCGCTGGTCCTTCCTCAGGATGGCCCCTGTGAGCGGGCAGGTGAAGTACACGCCAGACACTGCCAGGTGGGTTGAGCCTTCCTCTTTGGGCTCAGGCACCTGGGGAGATGGACATGAAAGTGTCTCATCCTGGACTGTGGACAGAGGACAGCCCAGGTCACTGAAAGCATGGCCCTGGGAGCCAGACATCCCTGGTCTCAGTACTGTCCCCTCTACCGTGAAACACCACACCCCAGTGACCCAGCCCTTCTGAGGATGTTTTCTGGTCTGCAAAATGTCTCTGCAGGACCAGCTGAGAATTCAACAAGGTGAGGAACAAAATAAAAGTGTGTAGCAGCTTCAAACACAGCGCTTAATCAATGGCTTCTGCTGTTCCTGTCCCTGCCACTAGGTAGAAAAGGGGTTTTGTGGTAGGGAGTTGAGTCGCGGTGCCCTGGACTAGTCCTGGCCCAGCTCTGGGCCTCAATTCCCAGGCAATACCTAGGGGTCTCTTCCCCTCTAAGACCCAGTGAGAACTCTGGGCTGAACTGCTAGGAAGGCCCTTTCTGCAGAGCTCCCCTTTGAGCCACACCTCCTCCAGGACCCCCTCTGACGGCGCTGCCTTCCACAGAGCCCTTCTACCTCCCCAGAAGGCTGCAGAGGGCAGTACTAGGGGCACAGGCTTTGGGGTCCCACAGACTGGGGTCCCCATCTTGTCCCTGCCAGTTTTGAGGTGCATGACTGAGGACACTGCCTTGAACTTCCTGAACCTGTTTTCTCTTCTGAAAAGTGGGAATTATAATAGCACCCACCCTCATGGGGTTACAGAGTTGGGGTACAAACTAATGGGGTCCAGTTCTACCCTCAGCACCCAAGCCTGGCATCATTAGGTGCTGAGTGTGGAGGTCCCAGCCAACATCACACTCAGCCACGATCTGCCTCTATCTTTTGAGGCAGCATTCTCCAAGGCTAGAGGTGACCTCTGCCCACCCTGACGTCTCTTCTGCGTCCCCAGCACCAAGTGCTTACAGCCCAAGGCTAGGTGAAGAAGAGATGGCCAATTTGACAAATGTAGGCAAGAACGGGGGTAGGTGACCCAGCTCCCCTACCCCAGGCCACCCCTTGGGGTGTCATGCTGCCAGGTGGATGCTGTTACCGTGTTAGTCTGCGGGGCCTTTGAGTTCCCACTGACAGTTGCTTCAACTTGTTCCTTTCTCACTGTGGGGAGAGGCAGAAATGGGTCAGGGTGTGGCCTTGCTAGGGCTGGCCTTCAAGCAGGTCAAGTTCTAGGCCTCCTTCCAGCGTGAGGTCCTGGCCCACCTTCCTGCAACACTGCCTCATGCCCCCACACTTCACCCGACCCCCTGAATGGCCTCCGACCTCGCCTCCTCGCTCCCTGCCCTCTTTAACCTCCCTGACATTCCTGGCACCCAGATTACATCAGACCCTTGTTCCTTTTCACCCTGAACTTTCCTACTCTCACAATTGTGAATTTAAAGCCCCCCAAAGTCATTGGCTACGTAATTATCTTCATCCAGGGCCAAGCATAGGATCTGGAACCTGTGACCTGCCATGGACAGGCCTTGAAGATGGAGGGGGCAGAGGCCTCACTCTACTTTGTCTCACCTGCCCCCCACTGCAGCCCAAGGACAGCGCAGCTCACCCTGGTTCCGGGTGAAGTCCTGTGACGTGGGGACCCGGGCCCTTGGCTGCTTCTGCTCGAGCCGGGCCAGGGCCGCTGCGGCTGCCATCTGTGCCTCATCAGTAGGTCCCTGACGGGACGGCCGGACCACTGGCTGGTTGGGCTTTTCTTTGGGGGCCTTCTCCCTGGGGAGAAACAGAGGGAAAGTGAGGTGATATAGGGTCAGACAGAAGAGCCTCTACCCCTCTCCCACTTCTGCTCCTGCCCCATCAGACAGACATCTCCATTTTTGCCGGGGGCTCCCCCATGGCCACCAGAAGGTTCTAACACAGATGGAAGAGCCCCCGGAGGCAGAAGGTGATTTCACTCCCAGCTCTGCCCTGCTGGGCAAGTCCTTCACTGGCCTGGGCCTCAGAGGCATCATCTGTTAATTGGGGGTAACAGGCAACAGCGCCCACCCCCACGTGGGGGCCATCCTGGTTAAGCACCCTGTCTTCAGGAACTGATGAGACTCAAAGGTGTCATTCCTCCCCTAGCTCCCTCCTAAGAATCTTGACCCTTACTGTCTGTAACAGTGAGCAGCTGCAGTTTCATTAACTGAGCACCTACTGTGTGCCACACAGCACACAGTGTTTTTTTCCTCATACCACACTCCTCTGAGGGCGGTCTTAAGATCTCCTTTTGCAGAAGCTCAGACAACTTGCAAACCTTGGATCAAGCACGTTACAAACATCTGGTTTAAAGTCACTTCTGCCCTGGGAAATAAGTGTAATAACACCAGAGGATGGATGACTTCTTAATCTACTTAACAGGAAAATGATCTGGCTTTGAATATCCCAGCAGAGAAGTCACACCATGGTCTGGCTCACCTACCTTACCCACCTTCTTCTGTGAGGACCTTCTCCCAGCTCCAGTAGTTAGAATCATCTGTGCTAAGTCTGTAAACCTTACTGGAAGCCAAGGCTCTCAGTTCATAGCCTCACTCCTCTTACTTTGCTCAGATGTGCAGGCATCCCCCTCTTATTCCAAGGCCCCTGGGACCTGCTTCCTGCCCCGCAGCTGAGAACCTCATGTTAGAAAAAACAGGTCACATAGACCCACCATAGTCCCTTGTGGTATTGAGGTCTTTCTATAAAAATGCCACTTTAGCCCTGGTCAGTGTGGCTCAGCTGGTTGGAATGCACTGTCCAATAGCCAAAGGGTTGCAGGTTTGATTCCCCGTCAAGGCACATGCCCAAGTTGTTAGTTCAACCCTGGTGGGGGTACATGCGAGAAGGCAGCTGATTGATGTTTCTCTTGCATTGATGTTTCTTTCTTTCTCTCTCCTGCACACGCGCTCTCTCTCTCCCCCTTCTTCTCTAAAGCAATGAGAAAAAAAATTTCCCCAGGCCACTTTCCAAGGCACTTCACCCACCCGCTTGGTGGCTCTGCTGGGCAGCCATAGGGATCCTTCTAAAACCTAATTAAGCACCTATCACACCTCTGCACCAAGTCCTCCCAACGCCTGCATGACAGACTCCTAAAGCCACCTATGTCCCTCCATCTCCCTGGTTCACTCTTCTGTCTACAATGGTCTCATTGCTGTTGCTCACATAAGGCCAGCTGGTTTGTGCAACAGAGCCTTTGCATTTCTTGGGCCTTCTGCCTGCATGTGCCACCTGGGAGTGGGGTGAGGAAGGGAGGTTTGGGAGAGGGCAGAGCTGATGGGGGACTCAAATGCGGGAAAATTTTTAGTTTTAGGTAATAGCTAAGAAGTTTTGTAATCAATGCATGTAAAAAGCTATTATTTCAAGGACTGAAGGTATGACCCACCTTGACTCCAAGAGACCATAAGCAGTTCTACCTTTGAGCCTCAGGACTCAATCAAGACGGTATCTGAGCCACTGCACCCCAGGGTGAGACGCCCATCGTCCAGGACACAGATGAAAGAATGCTGCAGCTTTCATCTGATTAACTTCTTTCCTAAACTCCAAACCCCTTACCTACACTTTTCTTATAAAAAGGGTCAGTTTAAAATGGAATTTAAGGGTCTGTTAGGGCAAAAACCCACCATCTTCTCAGATTGCCAGCCATCTGAATAAAGCGCCCATATTCAATCCCTGTCTCTTGCTTATTGGGTCTGGTCGGTGACATGAAGCACAAACACAGGCTTTTCTGGTTTCAGAGCTGCTTCGTGCACGCGTGCATCTGTGCATGCGTGTATGTGGCGGGGGGGGGGGGGCAGGGTTGATTTCCACATAGCTGAATCTCACTTCATCCAGCTCTTGGCTCATGTCACCTTCTCAGAGACGAATTCCTGGACCATCTAAAGGCTTCCCACCCCCAGTACTGACTATCCCCTGCCCCTGCTTATTTTTTTCACAGCCCCAGCCACAACCTAATCTTTTATCCTGTGTACTGGTTTCTTTTTCCATATCCACCAAGCCCTGGGAGAGCCCTGCTTGACATACCCTGCAGCACACCTGATAGGGGAACCCAAGAGTTAGAGATTTTAGCTTTAGTTATAATTGACAGGCTTAAGCAATTAACGCCTGTGGGCAGTTGTTGTTCCAGGAACTGAAATACCTGACCTACGTGAATCCAGGAAGTCAGACAAGTAATTCAACCTTTGTGCCCCAGGGGATCTGCAAGCTATTGAGATCAGTAGTTAGAGAAAAACCAGGAAAATCACTGCCTGCAACTCTTATCTGATTACCCTTTTTCCAAACTCATTACCTATCCTTTCCTTCTCCTGATAAAAAGGTTGGCTTGAAAAGAGATGTTATGATGGTTTTTAGTGTACATAAGCCACCATCTTCTCAGATCATCAGCATCTGAATAAAGCACCCATAGAGATTCAATCCTTGTCTCTCCCTATTGGTTCTGGTAGTCACAGGCAGCAGGGATGCCAACTTTTCTAGTTTCACACCCTGAGTCTCCCAAGGATCTCAGAAACCCCCAGTCTTTGTGACAGATACCCTGAGGTCCTTGCCCTGCACCCACCCTCCCTCACACAACTCTTGATTCTCTCACCACCCCTTCCTGTCCTACTCCCTGCCTCCCCTCCTACCCGTCCCAGCCCTAACCTTTTCACAATCCCTTTCATTATTCCTCACAGACCCCCGCACAGGCTGGGGCCTTTCCTCAGTCACTCCCCGTTCTAGGACCAGCACCTCCCAGTCCCCCTTTGCTAATTCCAACTCCCCTGTGGAGCTTCCTTCTCAGCCCACCAGACCTGACAATCTAGCATCCTCACCTGCTCCACCACTTTACTGACTCCTTCATGTCACTGGCCCTCCACACATCTCTCCACTGAGTTTTCAGTCTTGCCCCATGTCCTTCCCTTCTCCAAGTCCTCTCCAGGAAACTTACAGAGGCCTAAAGACCACCTCCCCCACAGTCCCAGGTCTCCCAAGAGCCTCCCATTCAACTCAACCATCTCCCACAAGGTCGCCATCTCCTTCCCATCACAGACATACCCCACCCCACCACTTGTTTTCCACCCCCACTACCCACCTCCATTCTACCCTCCTCTCAGCCTCCTTCAATTCACCCTGTCGACCCCTCCAACAATGCCTCAGACTCCCTGGCCTTCCAGGCTCTCATTCAGTTCCCTCCTCGAACTCCAAACGCAGGGTCCAGACCCCTCACACCATGGACGCTAACTCTTTTGCTTCTCCAGGCTCGGCCCCCAAACCCCATCACCTAGATTCCCCCAAATCTATATGCATCTTCTGGGGCATTTCTTCGCCTCCTAGCTTCTGCCTTACCACCCTCTAATCCCCAAGTCTTCCCGTTCAGCATCTTCTACCAGCCCCGTACCCCTTGTTCCCTCCTCCTGCCCCGCCCCCTCCGGCCTCGTCCATCCCGCTCCGCCCCCAGGGGCCTCCCCTTCCCCTCACTTCTATCGCGCTCTCCGACCTGCGCCCAAGATCTCTTCCCTCCTTACCCCTTATCATTTGGCTTCCCGCCCCCATCGTCCCTGTCCCCAGGCTTCACGCCCTAGCGCCAGTCACGCACCTCACCGACTCCGTGAGCTTCTGTCCGGGACCTGCGCTCTTAAACTTGATATCAGCCTTGATCTCCTGGAAGAACTTCTTCATGGTGGCGTCAGGCCCGGCGGCAGGCGGCAGGCGGCCGCGTGGGATGGGGGCCCAGGGCCCAGTCGGGGAGGGGTCGGTAGGAGCCAACAACCGGAAAAAAAATAAGGTGCTGACGGAAGTCCCGCCTCCCGCGCTCGCCCACGTGACAATCGGCCGGGCGCGCCTTTCTAGCTTTCGGTGCTTGGCTGGCCTGCGGCGACCGCTCTACACTTTCGACACTTCTCTCTGTGGTTCTTCCGGACTCTGTTGCCAGGGGCGACGAGGGCGCTTCTGGCTGCAGGCTGTGCTTGCGCACCTTCCTGTTCCCCAAGGGGAAACAGGAGAGGAGGGGCTTGACCCCACGGAAGAAGTGCTGCCCCTGCTCACGAACCTTTCCTGGCTCCTCAGCTTATGTGAAAAAGTCTCAATTCAATAGTGGGGGCGTTCGAGGACTCCCACAGCCCAGCCCCATAGCCATACCCAGTATCCCTCCATCCCCCTTAACTTTCCTGAGCTTCAGTTTCCTATATTTGAAATGGGGTTAAGATAGCACCCGCTTCTTAGAAGGACTGTAACCACGATAATGCAGTTGGAAGGATCAATAAATGCCAAGCGTTATATTTTACTTCTTTAATATTTCTTGAGTCAGAATGTTAAAATTCTCTGATCTCTCAGAGTTCATGACTTTTTCGATGGGGTTGGGGAGGGACAGACAGTATGATAAAATGTATGGTAGGGTAGATGGTATTAAGCGCTATGGAGAAAAAGTGGAAAACAGGAATAGAGGAAGGCAGAATGGGGGCAGTTTGCAACATCAAATAAGAGGGTCAGGCACAGGAAAAGGGCAGTTTTGAGACCACGATGGACCTTTGAATGTGTCTGAACATTACATGATAGAAAGGAGATATTGTTAATTTTGCTAAATGTGATAATGTTATAGTAGTTGTGTTTAAATATTTTTCTCAGAGATGTGTTCTGAGGCATTTATGGGTCAAATGACATCTGAGATGTGCTTTTAAATACTCCAGCAAAAAATAATACACACACACACACACATACACACTGATGCACATATATTTTAGGTAAGAATTCTCACGGCTGTAACTTCTCCATGTGGTAGAATGTGAAAGCAGTCATTCCCCAAACATCTACTGAGCACCTACTATGTGTCAGCCAGTAGTCACAGCAGGGAACAAGACAGGCAAGGCACTGCTCCTGAGGGGCTCGCAGTCAAATAGGGACACAGCTATTAAACAAGTATATAGAGCCCATAGAGTGAGTAGTGCTCACCTCTATGAAGAAAAATACAGTAAGAGAAAGGAATCAAGAGTGCTGGGAGTTCTCCTTTGGATAGGTTAGTAAGGTCTGACATTTGAACAGAGACCTTGGAAGGAGATGGAGGACCAAACCACAGGGATATCTAGGCGACGAGCATTCCAGGCAGAAGGAACAGCAAAGGAAAGGGTGCTGAGGTGACAGCTTATTCAGGGAACATGGTACCCGAAGCAGGATGAGTGAAGGGGAGAGTATATTCTCTGTTAACAGCAAGTAATGTGTGGTCTGATCATCTCCTCTATGAAATACTCTATAACCACCAGAAAGTGTGAACATGGGAACTAAATAATAGTAATTGCTACTATCAATTATTACTATATTTTGGGGATAATTATAACAAATTATCCCCAAATTTAGCAGCTTACAAGAACAAACATCTCAATTTCTGTGCATCAGGACTCAGGGGTGGCTTAGCTGAGGGGTTCTGGCTTCAGGCTTTCATGACGCTGCGTTCAAGCTGTTGGCTGGGGCTACAGTCTCACCTAAAGGCTTGACTGAAGGAAAGTCTACTTTAAAGCTCATTCAAATGGTTGTTGGAGGCCCCCTGTTCCTTGCTGGCTCCTGACTGAAGTTATGAGGTCCTTTCTGCAGGAAACTTTCTACAAACTACTGGAGTATCCACACAATATGGCAGCTGAATACCGAGAGAGAGAGAGAGAGAGAGAGAGAGAGACAGAGACAGAGACAGAGAGAGAGAGAGAGAGCGCTCCAAGAAGGATGCTACAGTCGTTTTATAGCCTAATATTAAACTTGCCATACTCTCATTTCTGCCTGTTGTATTGGTCACACAGGCCAACCCTGGTACAATGTGGGAAAGGACTTCACAGTGATGTGAATATCAGGAGGTGAAAATCACCCAGGGGCTCCCTATTACACTAGAGCACTGGGTAAAAGTGCAATAGATGACACTGTCTGCCCATCTATTTATGGTATGTAGAAAGCCTGCTATGGAAAAACAAGGCAGGGAAGAGAGGCAAAATTGCAACACTGGTTATTTGGGTTGGGGGGAACCATAAGGAACTTTTCTTCCTTTTTTCCTAGTTTCCAAATTTTATGTAATGGAGCTCTATGACTTTTACTATAGAAAATAATATTTATGCCTAACAGGTGTAACTCAGCTGGTTGGACATTATCCTGAAAACCGAAAGGCTGCCTGCCAGTTTGATTCTGGTCAGAGCAAGTGGCTTGGCCGTGGGCCCTCCCCAGATGGGGCGGGGAATGTGCGAGAAGCAACCAATGGACGTTTCTCTCCCTCTCTTCCTCCCTTCCCTTTCTCTAAAAACAAGCAAAGTCTTTAAAAAAATAAAATATATATAAAAGAAAATAATATTTAAAAGTAAAAGGAATTGAATTCAATTTCTAGACCTAACTTATAGGAATTGCAAGGGTGGAAAAACAAATCAAATACATCATGAGGAAACAGACAAATCCAGCATGTGACACATTCTCTAAGTCAACTGGTTTGGTTCCTTAAAAAAGTCAATCTTGTGAAAAATAAACAAGACTCTAAATACAAGGGATCAGCGGAATATAGCCTTTAATGCAGTGTATGAACGTTGATTTGATCCTGGTTTAAAAAAAAAACAAACTGAAAAAGCGCTGGCTGGTGTGGCTCATTGGATTGAATGCTGGCCTGCAAACTAAAAGGTCGCCTAGATTCCCAGTCTAGGGCACAGGACTGGATTGCAGGCCAGACCCCTGGCAGGGGGCACACAAGAGGCAACCACACATCAATGCTTCCCTATCTCCCTCCCTTCCCCTCTCTAAAAAATAAATAAAATAAAATCTTTTTTTAAAAAAGCTGAAAAAGACTTAGAATAATGAAGACAATTAAAAAGGGACTTTATATCAAATAGTATCCTGGAATAACTATGAATTTTCTTTGGTTTTCCTTCATTATATAAGCATAAAGGTATCATGCTTATATAATAAAATTCTTAATCTTAGGAAATGCTGAAGTATTTAGGGGCAAAGTGTCATGATGTATGAAACTTTCAAATGTTTAAAAACAAATATATATACATTTGACCCTTGAATAACACAGGTTTATACTGTGCAAGCCCACCTATACATAGTTTTCAGTAAATGCTGTAAATGTATTTTCTCTTCCTTATGATTTTCTTAACATTTTCTTTTCTCTAGCTTACTCTACTGTAAGGATAGAGTATATAATGCATATAAAATATGTGCTAATTATTTATATTATACATAAAGCTTCCCATTAACAGTAGGCTTTTTAACAGTTAAGTTTTGGAGGGAATCAAAAGTTATTCATGGTGTCCAACTCCTCAGCTGGTTGTACTACTGACCCCTATATAAACACACTAACCCCATGTGTGTTTATATACACACACACATATATAAAGCACATATAAGGAAATGTTAACAACCATTGAATATAGGCATAAGGTTGTGGTAGTTGTAAAATATGTACCTAAATTGTTTGATACTCCTCCCTTCTAAAGGCAGGGTCTAGTTCCCTTCCCCATGAGTGTGGGCTGGACTTAGTGACTTGTTTTTAACAAATAGAAAAGGGCAGAAGTGATAGTGTACACTTTTGAAACTCGATATAAAAAGCATGACTCCATCTCTGGGATCACTCACTCTGGGGAAGCCAGCTGCCATGTTGTGAGGAGGCTCAGACAGCACTGTGGAGTCGTCCAGATGGTAAGGAGCTAAGGCCTCCTGCCAATAGCCATGTGAGGGAGCCACCTTGGAAGGAGCTGTTTTAGCCCCAGTCAAGCCTTCCAATGAAGTAGCCTTAGCTGATATCTTGACTGCAGTTTCGTGAGATACCCTGAAGCAGAACTCCCCAGAATCCTGACCATCAGGATCTACACAAGAGAGTACATATTTATCGTTTTAAGCAACTACATTTTAGGGTAATTTGTTATGCAGCAATAGCTAACTGATAAAAAGACATACCATGTTCATTGTGCTACAATTTTCATCTTTTTTAAATGTTTAAAATATTGACAATCACAGTTTAGCACTGTGAAATAAAGGATCATATCTTTTATAATCTCAAGTAAAAAGTAAAGAGATTGGCCCAAAGTCACACAGCCAGACAGTGGTGGAGACCAACCCTCTGTCCGGAGAGTGAAGTCCTACAGGGGTCCTCAGCCTACATTCAAGATCCTGAGACTCCTGGGAAGTCTAAGAAGCCTCATAACTGTTTCCTCTCTGCCTCTACCTGGAACTATTCATAGCTCAACTCAAGTACCTTTGTCTAGGCAGCTACCTCAGAGGGAAGAGACCTGTCCCCTAAATTCTCTTCTTCCAGGAAGCCCTCTTTGACTGCCTTCCTCATGCTGAAGTTTACTGTGAGCCTCCAAAGCCTCTCCCTCTTATAATAGTCAGTGCCAATAATTACTGAGCACATACTATGTGCTAGGAAGTTTGCTAAGCGCTTGGCCCATATTCCATGTATAATCTTCACAATCTTGTTCACAGCAGCTCTGTTTATAAATCAAGCAATGCTGTGACTCCCATTCCATAAGTGAGTAATCTGAAGCGCGCAGGAGTAATACCACTTCCTTAAGGTCAACCAGCTTTTAAGCAGCAGAGCTAGGACTTCAACCCTGTAGAGTCTGTTCTCTTAAAACCTCTGTGGTCAGCAGAATAATGGCCCCTAAAGATAGTCAAGTCCTAATCCTGAGAAACTGTAAATATGGTACCATTTGTGGCAAAAGAGATGCTGCAGATATGATTAGATTAAGGACCTTGAAATGGCCCTGCCTTATTTGGATGGGTCCCCTGTAATCATATGTCCTTTTAAGAATGAGGCAGGAGGGTCA